ACTGAAATCTGCAAACACATAAAAGCATCATCGAAAATTTAAATGGAGCATCAAAAATGAAAGCAAGCAAAACTAAACCGCTTATGCAACTTGAGCTGCTTTTGTTTGTTTACGTGCATTGCAATATAGTCTTACATAGCCATACACATTTACTATGTAAAATTGCCTTTTCACAAAACATTCCTTTTTAACACATTTGACGATCACACTCAGGAGCTGAAAAGCTTTCAGTATCCTGTCTACCCCTGTATTTCAGTCTTGGAACTTGATGTACTCCAAACTCTTCAAGTACAACTTTGTACTGTTCATTTCTTTGTCACACACTGTACACAAGTGCTCATCACTACAGCAGAAAAACGGTTCGCTGTTTACTTTTACGATTACTTAGAACTCTTCCCCAGCCCTCAGTGAGGTAAGGAGGATTATATCACCTTATTTACTTATTGATAAGCAAGTCCTGGAAAGATCAAGTTCAAAAGTGTCTACTAAATGAGTACCTAACTGAAATGTCAAGGACCTGTTAAACTTGGAAGTAGAGCATTTGTAAAACACTTCAATACTCAAAGACTAGTTTCTACTGATATCAGTGCTCATCATTTTTGCAAATCAGACTCCAGAACAGCATGAGTCCATAATTAGCAGAACTGCAATCACACTATTTTGCTTAGTATCACAAAGAAGACTATCTAGAAAATTAATCTCAATTTTTTAATCAGTCTAAATTCTCTGCACCCAAGGGAATTAGAGCTTGTAGGGGCCCATCTGGAGGTTTCCAGCAGAACTGGCTCCAGACTATTTCACAGTCGCACGAGATGGAATGACCTCTCCAAGTACACTTGGGTGGAACAGCAGCAGGTGAGCAAAAGTACTGTACTGAATCAGGCCAAAGGGCTTCTGGCATCTCCTACTGTGTCCAAAAGCGCAGCCTAGGGAAAAATGCACTGCTGCCTTCTCCAAATAGTCTTCCAGACTCCAACTTGTGGCTCATGGGTTTCCTGAACAAGCAGTGATGTATGTATTTTTAGCTCTGAGTGGATTTCCATCCTGTGATAGTATCGATAACATCTTCTGGCAAGGACTTCTGCAGCTTAACTACATACTGTTTGAAAACAAAAAAAACCAACCAAACCCCAACCAATTTTGTTTGCTTTGATCTAGCCACTTCAAACTGATTTCTAAGAAGTCTTATACCAGAACAGGTACATGACAGTTATCTCTCTCTAGCTTTTCGTAGTTGTTTATCATTTTTGCAGACCATTATCATATTCTTTTTGATGGGACTTGCAGAATTGAAAGGTGGAGCTGCCTAGAAAGAGTG